TGTTCGTGTGTGTGAAAGTGAGTGACTTTATTGTACATTGTGTATTACATCGTGAGTCTTCTGAATTAGGAATAACTAAAAATTAAACAAAATGACTGAGCATGCGAGTACGTCTCAATCTGAAATAGAGAATAAGATGCCATAGCCGGTATATTCAGAAATTTTTACACTCGAACCTAAATTGAGTAATGACAAAAATTTTGCATTTACGTGCAAATTTTGCTTAGGCAGAAAAATTATTCACGCCAATAGAGGTTCTTCAGCCAATTTAAAGAAATACATAAATGTAAGTTTCGTTTATTTTTATTAGGTGTACAAAAAAGTTCTGAGCTTTAGATTTCATACAACCGAAATAACAATTTAAATTTTATATATCTTCCCGCCCTTTTGCGGTTTTAAAGCGTTGACATTTGGCCTTCTAAAATGACATACGGTTTGGCATTTGATGCACATAAACCTCAAAAATCAATAGTGTTCACGATGGCAATAAACAAAAGAGCATATTCGATTTTCCATCCACTTCGCGTTTCATCTGAAGAAAAATGCTGCTGAAGCCACTGCAATGATTTGTGCTGCATATGGAGAGAACGCTATAAGTCATATTACATGTAAAAGATGGTATAAAAAATTTCGCCAAGGAGATTTCAGTCTTGAAGATGAACCGCGTGCTGGACGCCCTCAAAAGATTGAAACGGACGAATTGCAAGTACTGCTGGATATAAACTCTGCGCAAACTGAAAAGGAGCTTGCAGAACAGCTTGGCGTTACGCAGCAAACCATTTCTGTACGATTGACATACGATGGGAAAGGTTCAGAAGGAAGGCAGATGGGTTCCGCATGAATTGTCCGAAGACAACAAAAATCGTCGGCGTGACACTGCACTCACTTTGCTTTCAAAGTTCTGAAAAAAAGATTTTCTGCACAAAATCATTACAGGCGATGAAAAGTGGATTCTTTATGATAACCCTAAACGTAGAAAATCATGGGTTGACCCTGGTCAACCTTCGACATTGACGCCAAAGCCCAATATCCACGTCAAGAAGGTTTTGCTCTGTATCTGGTAGGATTGGAAAGGTGTGTTGTATTACGAGTTGTTATAACCGTGTGAAACAATCACGACAGACCACTACCAACGGTGGCAAAAGCCAACAACAATTGACCAATTTGAGCGATGTATTAGAAGAAAAGAGGCCATTTACTGGCCAAGGACGTCGTAAAGTGATCTTGCTTCATGACAATGCTCGACCACATGTTGCGAAAGCGACTCAGGACCATATCTTTGCGTTAGGCTGGGAACTTTTCCCGCACGCGGCGTATAGCCCAGACATGGAGCCTTCCGATTACTACCTATTCCGTTCGCTGCAGCATCATTTGGCTGATATACATTTCGTGAGATTTGAAGAGATACGAAAATGCATTGATGACTTTATCGCTTCGAAGCCGGTGAGCTTCTATCATCAAGGAATTCGCAAGCTACTCGAAAGTGGCAAAAGGTCGTTGCAAACGAGGAATATTTCACTGATTAATATTTTTTTTGTTTGTTTTTGAATAAAGATTGAATTTTACAAAAAAAAGCTCAGAACTTTTTTGTATACCTAATAGAATACGGTCTTCACCTTCGATTTGGTTAAAATTAGGCTCAATCGACGCGGTTTTCACTCAAAATAAAAGAATCTGGCAGAAAAACGCGGCGGTCTGCCTCGCGAGATATTAAGTGTTAAATTTGACCACTTTTTTGGTTAGGAAATTTGTCATACCGACATAATACAGCGAAGTATGCGCAGTGATCATGTTTGCATGCTCAATGATTACACACCCATGCTGTGCAAACGCACACGAAATTTAAACTTAATAATATTGTCGCACTCGCGGCGGGTTCGCTCGCGTCACTCTCACGCAAGAAAAGAAAGAGACGATTAAAAAGGAAACACACTTTATTAAACACTAAGCACAGGAGCGATAACAAAAGCTTTTCAGTTTAATAATAGTTCGCCACGACACAGCTCAAACTCGCGCTGCGCCGACTCTCTCGCCAAAACAACCGCTTGACGACCGCGTCGGCAAGGAATGATCTTCAAGTTGGAAATGTATGAGGGTAGCGTCGAGCGGAACACCGCTCGGTTGTAACACTATTCCCCTCCTTTTTGAAATTGTCGTCCCGACAATTCCAGGGAACTCCCTGGCAGAAAAAGTCGGCTTCTTCCATAATGAAGCTCAGGGAATCTGTCGGCTTCCTGCTCTACCTCGAGCTGCTGCCACGAGTTACCGAGCGCCGAATCAGTCCCAAACTTCACCCTTCCTGGAAGTTCTGTGCCGCTGCGAAATCATCTTCTCTCTTTTTTCTTTTTGATACTTCTTTATCTTGTGCTTGTATCTTGCGCACTTCTCTCTTCGGACAAGGCGAGGGAAGCTTCCGTGGACCCTTTCGTCCTTATGGACACTCCAAATCCTCGCCTCTTTGCCCTAAGTTCCTCGGAAAAACCACGGTTCAAAAAAGGGCGAGGCGGACTTTTTAAAAAAAGTTTTCCTGAGCCGGATGTTAGAGATAGTAAAAGATCTCCCTCTTTAAGCGATGCCAACAAACCTCAAACAAGAAACACAAACATAAACAGTATCTACAGTATCTACTACTAAAGAACTTTTTTCTTAAACATATCTCTTTATATATCTCTATACATATTTTTTACACACTTACAGACTCAGTTTCGATTCTTTTCCTTTCCTCAAATCGAGCTAATCTATCTAAATGTACTACTTTATTTTTATGCCTTTTCGTTTTTTGAATGCAATAAACTACATCATTCATTTTTCTAACCACCTCATAAGGTTCTTCCCATTTGGCCTATCCGGAGTGCTCTCCTGACGTACAGGATAAAATTGCTCGCAATTTATTGTCGCGTTGGCAAACGGTTTTATTAAATAAACCCTTCAAATAGAAGGGCATACATCTTTGAGAGTCGCTGTGGAAAGAGCCATAGCGGTAAAAGTTATTAAAAAAAATAGTTTTCCCAAATTTCAGGAGAGAGATCGAAAGGGTAAAATTAGTTTTGAGGTCGGACGATGAACGGAACTATTTGAATAAAGGAGAAATTTTCGCACATGATTATAAGTAAAATCGTGGGAAATTTAGTAATTTTAATAGTAAACAAAAAGAAACGTCCGGTTCTAAAAGAGGAGCCAACGAATGCTGGCAATGCGGAGCAAAGGGACACTTCCGGAGTGCCCTTCATTAGTTAATTCAGGAAAGGGAAATTCGGGCTCGCCGAGTTTTGCAACAGTGTAACGCAGGGCTCGGCGGGGAAATGTAATATCGCAGGAGAAAGGAATTTTCCTTTCGAAAATTTAAGTGGAAAGTCAGGAAATTTTTGTTTTCAAGGAAGGTTAGATGATCAAAATTGTGTTTTCAAAATTGACACGGGCTCAGATGTTTCGATTCTTAATAAAAGT